TGTTTTTTTCCCATGATTGAAAGAAAAAACATCTTTCCGTCGAATATGGCCAACCCTGTACATCTTCCAGTTATATAAATTGCGCACTGATTATTGTCGAACTTAACAATAATTATAAACTGAAACTAAAATAATATCACAAATTAAATTTATCATCAATTTACTAATAATGCTAATAAATATCTTAAAGCACTGCAAGCTCTTATGAAAAAGTGTCTCAATATGCTGATTAATGAAATATCATCAGTTACTGAATAGTTAATCACCATATTGAAACATTTTTTCCTAAGAAAAGACTTTATTGTGAAAAATATTATGCAATATTACAATATATATTTTTTCATTGTTTTAAGATACTTATTAAGATACATCATTACATTGACGATCAATTGATATTATTATTTCAGCTCCCGTTTATAATTGCTAGTCAAGTCCGATAATAATCGGCACATAGTTTATATAACTGGAAAATGTATTTAAAATTAACATATAAAATATTATCTATTATATACTAAAATCGAACCTCGATCATATTTTGCCTTTTTTTATTTATTTAATTCATTTATATAACGGTCAAGTTTAACTTATTGTACAATTTATAGCCTTATTTCATTCTTAGATTTTTTTATCTCAATTCTAATTGTAAATTCTAATGAGTTTGATATCTCGAGAATTTTAATTTAAATTCTTGATAAAAATTTGGAGCGCAATTATTCGCCGTAACTTTTCAATAGCGATACTTTTTAATTCAACAATAAAACGGCTCAAAAAATTTATGGATAATCTTAAATATATAAAATTATTCAGGATTCTACTTTTGTTACACATAGTTAAAACTGTGGAAAGTCATGTTTTATCATTTAATTGTTTATCATTTAATTGTTTTTTTTATCATGTAATTGTTTCTACTTACTACTTACTAAGAAATACTTTTTATTATATCAAATCATTCAATCACTTCTAAATTATAAATCAAGAATTATTATACGTTGTAAATTATAATTAAAAATATAAAATATTTATGCTAAGAAATAAAATAATTATAGAGTAAAATTATGTCTACAAATGATGATGTTTTATATGAAATTTTTTATTTAAGTGCAAAGATACATGAAATCGGTTAATACAACATTCGTAAATAAAACTAAAAATTTTCGAAAATAATTGATGTATAGCAAAACAAACATTTCACAAAGGAAGTATCGTGTTCGTAAACAAACATAAAAACGTGAAGTATTCAACATATTAACGTTCAGTTTTATGATTTATTGAAAATATGCAAATAAATTTAACATTGTACAACAATTTCCCAGGAAATCCTAAATTTACGATTTCCCAGAAAATCTCAACATTATTTTATTTTTTATTTTTTATTTTTATTTTACATTATTTAAGGCTCTAATATAAAATCTAAACGCATTAAAAAATTATAAATCGCATGAACGCATCAAAAAATTATGATAAACAACAGAGGAACCTATAGAACATATACATTTTTAAATTGCATACACACGCCGCTATTCAAAAATTCACAATTGTATCAGGGGATCATTGAGTATTTGAAAAGATGTGAAAATGTGAGTAAATTCATTAGAATGTTTATAATTTCATTAGTCAACATCTAGTGAATTTGTTTCGCTTTTGTAATTTTCATCTCATCTCAAGATACACAATTGATTCCCAGAATCTAAAATAACGATCATTCTTTAAAATACGTACAGCTACGGTATCATCCAATTTTATTCTTTCTTTTTCTAGTATCGTGCCCGAGAAAAAAATATTTTATTTTTAAAAGATAAACAAGAGAATTCGAATCACTGCCCGAAGATTGCGAACCCATCGTCACCGACGCCCGTCGGGGACGACGGATGCGTTCTTAGCCGCGAATTGGGAATTTTCTCGAATTGAGTAGCATCGCGAGAAAGACGGAATGCGGGAGGTAGACGGGATACGTGTACTTACCGAGTGTCGCGCCGAAGACGACTAACGAGCGACGGCGTTGCCGTGAATGTTGCAGCTTGGCGAGACACCGCGACACTGACCGCGCGGCTCCTCGGTCCACGACAGGACTCCCACGACGAAGACTCGCCACAGGGTCAGAAGTAACTCGAAACTGGTATCCGTCAGACCCATGCCCGATTAGCGCGTCGTCGTTCCTTTTCTTGCCCTTCTTCCCTCCGCCCTCGTCGACACCCCTGCGTTTCCGCGTCAAATTCTAGAGTAGATTTCCTTCTTCCCGCGCGTTACTTTACGTAGAGGACGAGAGCTATTCGCCGCGGAAGAAATGTGGATTCGAATCCGGGTGGTTTCCGCGAGTCACTCGCGTTATTCTATTCGAGAGAGTCCTCGCGCATCCCGATGGCGATCGGCGGAGTGGTGAAGTGAAAGGAAGAAGCAAGATCGCGAAAGGACGTTTAGTGAACCGCGAATTTCGAGACGCTCTCCAAATACGCGGCAATATCGCCCCGTCGCGAGTTACTTCCGGCGGAAAAGCGCGTCCCGTTCTCTCGCGAGAGCAATCGAACAAGCACTAAGTTAAAGCTAAGGAAAAGAAAAAAGAGGAATGGAGAGATGGATGCGAAATAGGGATGCGGTAGTATTTTTTTTCAGCACAGGGGAACCTCGTCGCAAAGGATCGAAAGAGCGAGTGGCGAATTTTAGCGCCCGTCGGCGCGTATATACGCGCCGTGGTCACGTGGTGCGCGACCGCGACCAATCACTGCACGCGCGCGTGCGCCGTCGCTCGATGAGAAATTCTACACACAATATCGATAAAAAGTCACTTTTCTAAAAAAAAGGAGAATGGAAAACATGTTGCATATACATATATGAGTTTATTTTTCGCTTATTATCATTTATTAATATTATTAATTAATATTATTTTATTAATATATATTAATTGAATTAATGTATATACATACAAATAAAAAACTAATATTAATTAATAAATTTATACATATGCATATAGACATGCGAGCTTGTGTGTGTGTTATGATATACATAATATTTTACTTGCAATCTCATTGTTCCCATATATTTCTTCTACAAAAATAACGGCATTTAAAATCGCATCAGCTGGAAATGAAGAATTTAATACTACATATGCAAAGTCTTTAAAAAAGTCAAAGATTTTTACGTAATCATTAATAAATCTTCTTGCTTAAGTGATGAGGAATAGAGTATGTTTTTGTTAGATAATAGAAAGCATGATGTTGCGTCTTTGAAATGATAAGAAAATAATTTAATAAAAAAGAAGCTGAAGAACAAGATGATAATATACGTTATTATATATATTTTAATTTTTTTGTATATACATCGATTTGTCTTTAATGGAACTTTTTATAAATCGAAAGTTATACAGTATTTAATATTATGTAATTAAATTTATATATTTATTCTTTCAATAATGACGACAAGCTGTAAACACATATATACACACATATATACGCGCACACAAATACGTATTCTAGGCAATCATTATAAAAATGTTAAGAATCCGATTGGGATTTCCAATTAGCAAATTTCAAAATGTGTGGTATTTACCCTTGTGCAAAGAAAATAAATAACAACGAGTTTTCCTTATTACAGTGTGAAAGTTCAAAGATAACATTAACGCTGGAACATGGAAATGTTTGTTAAAGAAAAGAAATGTTTTAAAAAATTGAAAATTTTTTTCTAAAAGAATCAGAAATTTCTATATTTTTTATTAATATACATATTGTACAGAGTAACATTTAGCTACTATAAAGTTCGTGTACTAATAATGACAATTATCAATTTTATTGTATTATGAATTCATAATGCTGACTTTATCGTATTTCCTAAAGATAAAAGCCGTAAACAATTAAATGCATTTTTTATCCTATTCATTAATTTTTATAATAATAAGAAGACGCAAAAAAAAATAAAAAGAATAATTTTCGAATTGTTTCTTTTAAAATAGTCAAGTTTGGAAAAATGAGAAAAAATTGCTCATATACAATCATATATATATATATTTTTTTTTTAATCGTATAAATAATTATATTTGGACAATTTTTTGTCACTTTTGCAAACTTGATTTTTTTATAAAAGAAGCAATGAGCAAATTATCCCTTTAATTATTTTTTGTCTTCTCATAATTACTTTTTTGTACAAAACTATTAATTAATTATTAATTAATTTTACAAAATAAAGAAACATGTTACATATATAGACATATTTTATTTTATAATATTATGTATTTTATTTTATAATTATATATATTTTTATGTAAATTAAATAAGTTTATACAAGTTTATATGTTCTTATATAAAAAAATCTTGGACAACATCTCGTTAGAAATAAATCAATCATTATCTGTTGATCATTAATCATAATCTGTTGATCATCAATCATAATATTCATAATCATCAAAAGACATAAAATGATATTACTTTTGCAATACAATATACAATTTAAAAATGCAAAATAAAAGCAACACTTTAATTCTTTCGAAAAAGTTCAGATTAATTAATCCTATTAAGTTCAACAAATTGTTCTTTATTTATACATATATAAATTATTTAACACAGCTGTAACATCGCTGCATCATCAACCTGCAAAACATACATTATGCGCATAATTATGTTTTATAAATTACCTTTTATGCTGTAAAATCTATAAAGTAGAAAATAATCAAACTTCCATTAAAAAATGCCATTCTTTTTGCACCACGCAACAAGGTTGCAATTTTTTAAATAATAATCCAAAAACGCAAAGCTTATGAATCACATTGCCAGGTACATATAATAATAACGTTTTATAAATTATTTTTCGTACAGTAAAAAGAGAATAATCAAACTTTTACTTCAAATTTTGTTTTCATTTTAAAAAAATTAAAAAAATATCTCTAATCCTTCTTAGGTCGAAATTTTCCAAATGACAATTTAGAGATCCACCGTCTTCGAATACGGGTTTGAAAATATCGCGCCGTTCCCGTCGATTGGCCGGCCCTACGCCAATCCCGCGAGGTCACGAAAGCACGGTTGCGAACGTATTACACGAGCGAAGGCGACGACCAGCGACGACGACGATTGTAATGGTTGGAATGGGCCGAGCATAAGTCGTCCAAGTCGCCTGAAGCTGTCAAGCTGCGTCACGCAGTGGTTATCCAGCTCTTCCGTCCATTCCCATTTTTCTCAGCCGACGACGGTGAGTAATGTGCATCTTGTGCGACGGATATTTTTGCCCCTCCGTTGACGACGATCCGTCATCGATCGTTCATTTGGGTCGCGTCTTCTTTCTCCCTTTTTTTTCCTCTTATTTTTTTCCCCCTTTTCCGTTTCGCGCGCGATAGTGTCGATGCGATAAATCGCGACGCTCGTCATCCCGCGACTTCCCATTCGACGGCGCTTTCGCGCTGTCCGTCGCGACGCATTCGTGTCATACCATACGGACACGAGCGATGAAGCTGTATTTCTCTCTCGTCGCCCGCAAATCGCTGTGGGGATATCATCGATCTCTCTCGTGCGGAGAAAACGCGGAAACGAGGCGAGCCGCGCGGAAAATCGCGATTCTCGCGGCCTACAGCTGCAATCCTCCCCCTCCTCGCTTCGCGTATCGCTCTAGTTGTGATAGCTGCGTTCGATTTGGCGCTCACAGCGCATAGAGTATCACTTGTCCTTGTTTAAACTTATGAATATTCTAGTAAATTCGCTCATTTTTGTAATATTAAATCTGTTCGCGTTGCGAAAAATCTTCAAAAGTCTTTTTCCTTAAAGAGAGATAAACATATATTATAGTATAATTATAATGATTCAATTTAAAAAACAAGTTAAAAGAAAAAGAGCTACGAGCCAGAAGCTTTACCTATAAAATTGGTAGATAAGTAAAAAAATGTCTTAATAAATTAATTATGAAATTTAATGAATATATGTATTCGGAACGAGAGATAGTGAAGATTCCGAATACAAAAAGTACAAGCAACTCGAATAGACCTTGTTATTTAATTTCAAGAACTGTATTAAGTCCTCGTAAACTCTCTCTTACTGTTCAGCTTTCCGGGAATTGTGACAGCGTGATGCACGCGAAGACGAGAAAAATTCCGATTGCGGATCGCTCGCTCGATATACACGCGAAAATATTGTTGCAGCAGCTGCGTTGCGTAAATGAGATTTTACTTGAAAGAATCCTGTTTTTCTGTCGATGCTCGAATAACAGCAATCTAATTTTTACATTTTTGCGCTGTCATTTAATTTATTAATGTTCACTTTTATCAATGTAAATTTACTTTAATCTCAGGTTAATTCACTCTTTTATCTTTTTCTAATTTTTAAAACTGGATAAACAGTAAGTTAAATCGAGATTAAGTTAGTTTACGTTTTTAAAAAAATAGGCAGGAGTTATTAACGAGTGTTTGCGCATTTGTTTAGCGAATCTCAATTGACGTTTGCTATAGGATTAGAAATCAGTACCGTGGATCGTTTCTTTATTGTAGTTCTAATGCGTGCTGTAAATTAATGTTGCGTGTCGCAGTAATTCATGTAAATATCGATAATTTTTTCATTATTGAGAATATCTACATTTCTTTAATACTCTTCCGCGATTTATGACTTCCTTCGGTTAATCTCGCAACACATTCTTTATGAACTTTCTAAACTTTTTAAACTTTCAAGATAAGTTTATATTCCACTTAATAGCAATATTTTATCTTATATATATTTTTAAAAATTCATAATAATATGTATATTGTATCAAGAATATGTATTAAAAATAAAATAAACAATTTATATTACAATAAATTTAACTAGAAGTCGAATACACTAAATTTCTCGAAAAGAGAATAATTTCGCATTATATGCAACGTTCTTGAAACTATGAAAATCGATAATACAATAATAATTTTAACTTGGACGTGTTTTAACGAATACAAAAGAATATATTATATATATTTTGTTATTGCGAGTTTAAACTTGCTCGCAATATCCTGTTTAAAAATAAGGAATATTCAAATTCGATTTTTCTGCGACAAAATGAATCAAAAACAAACTTCATGCGAAGATATTTATTTTAAATATTTAAATAAATTATCATTACATTGACTGATCAAGCTGATTTCAGGGTATAGGAGCTTAATAAATGTACATTAAGTATTATTTTTTTAATGTCTTAAGACAATAAAGTACATTATTATAATTTATATTGTTTCTTTAATGACTTAAATATTTAGTAAATGATTAAAAATTATTCTTAATTTTTAACTAAAACACAATGGGTGAGACGGAACTTTCGCAGAAACTTGTTATCAGATATGGATGACGTAAAAGTCAATATATTGAGTAAATAAACACATAAGTCATTGTATAAATAAACATATAAATCATCAAATTAATAAATATATTCTCAAGCTCGAAGTAACGCAGTATCTCTGTCGTTGAAAGAAATAAGTTTTACAATATATAAAATAACGTGTAGCTCATCCACGTGCACGATAAACGGTATCCAACCTAGCAATTCTACCGATAATTTACACTGCGTAAGTTCGCAACATTTATGTCGCATTCGTGAGATATCTTTTAATATATAGTCGCGTATATCGTATCAAGCCAGATAAGAAGTCAGATATTATATTCACTTCGCTCACATGCGAAAAATTGCCCCGTTTTATATAAGACATTTTTGAAAGTACGACAATAAATAATACATTTTAATTTAGCTTTTTGGAACAAATATAAAAACATATCTTGTTACTTCGAATATAAACTCGTTATTAATCAATTAATTCTAACGTTCAATATTAAATATAGTAGAAAAATTAATCAAGATAATTATTTGTGCTATAAGTGTATACTTATATGTAATTCTCTGAAATTCTGCACTAAATTATTTCATGTAATCGCGCGTATCAAATTATAAAAAATTGCTAAAATGTATTGTTTGTTGATGAATCTCTCTTCTTTTTTTTTTGACGACGTTAGTATATTGTTCTGTGTTTATAAAAGTAACCGACCATAAATAAGAGATAAGTTACACGTTTCGCGGATGGCAAAAAGCCGGAGTGCACGACGGAAAAACATAGATTGCGCTTGCGATGAAAAAGAAACATTGATGTATCTAATAATTTCAATAATCGAGGTAATTTTTTAATTGCGTGCAGCGGCAGATTTTGCGGAAGGTCACCCATCTACCACGATGAGCGACGAAGGATTCGACCCCTGCGAATGCATGTGGAATCACATGTCCGTGCAACATCTGCTTTCTATCGTAAGTAATACAAGAGAGAAAATAAATAAAAAATAAATAAAAAAAAATGAGTTCGTCAGATATATGTTGCGATAAGATCGTGGTCAGATAATGGACGGCGACGAAGAATGCATCTCCTTTTCCTTTTTTTTTTTCGCGTTTAGGTCTCTTTAGGCCGAACAATAAACGAGGTTTCTTGGACGACCTGTAACGCAATGACCTCTTCTGTTTAGCTGGCAGAAATTCATTGCGCCACGCGGTTACGTAAAAATGTTTCAATTACGTAAGTCGATTGCCGATGCATGATACATTACACAAATCAAACATGAGGACGTCGAATTATATAAAGATTTGAGTGTAAAAAAAGAAGATCTGTTCGCTTCTGAATAAATTCGTTTTTAAGTATACATTCCGTAACGAATAATTCTTGTTAAAACGCGAAGAAAGTATACATAAAATATGAACATGACTTTTACACATAAATGTATCGATGTATATATGTATGTATCGTGTACTGTGTATTGTGTATATATATAAAGGCATACACTCACACAAAAGTCAAATCCAATCTTCACATTAATAGTAATCAATAATTGTTGTATATTTTTTTCATTTTATATTTATCGCACTTACATTCAATGACGAACAGCAAATATAGTTATTTGTTTCACTGCGTATATTTTGCAAATTAATTTTTCCACAAATTGTATTTTACTGTTCCAGTTACGACAATCCCAGGATTATTGTTCAGATACTGAGTGCTTCAATGTGTCGAGAGGTAGGTATTCATTATTTGCTACTAAACACTTCTAATTAATATTTAATATTTGATATTTAATTTTAACTGTTCGAATTGTTTCCTACAGTCGGTTTCATCAACATAGCCAATTAAGTTTAACTTCAGTTTAAGTCCGTTTTCTTTGCAGAACTGAAAACAAACAAAAGTTTAATAATTTAAGATATTGAATTATGAGTTAGATATAATATTAAATTACACAATCAGAAAAGAAATTAAAAAAGAAAAAAATAAATATTTCTTTTTTTTTAGTTCCAGGGCCGCAGACGAATGTTCGGGAATGTTCAGATTTTCTCTTTACTTGCTTAATTATTGGTTTCATCGCTCTCCTGTACGCATTTAGACCGAGATCTTTGCGATATTCGACCAGGAATGTTATCAACAAGAGCAGCAATGAGCCCGTGAGTGTGCGTCGATTGTGTATTATTGATGGAAATTTGAAGGCGTATTATTGATGGAAACTTGAAGGCGTATTTTGAGCATACTTTATTTGCAGGGTTCACATGGGGATGGTCCGCCTTCGCCGACGATGAATTAAATAGTGTAGTGACATCGTAAAGATTCTTGTTATTCAAGATTTTATATATCAGGATCTGCATTAAACTTATATCAGAAATAGGAGACGGTATGATATATAGATGATATTAATAAATCTAATGTATGCGCGTTAGTGAGCTATTATCAATTTGATTTTTGGAGACTTAACTTCTTTACACGTTGGCAATTTCAATTTTATACAATTTTCTCATCGCGCGTATGCGTCTTTCTCTTTAAACTTTTTTTCTCTAATAATCTCGTGCCGAGATTATATGTATAAACACGATATAAAATAATTTTATCTCGACTTTTTGAAAGATAAAGTTTAACTATTACATCTAATATGAGATCTCTAGCATTTCTTAAATACTAAACTTAGTTTCCGCGGCTCACATTTAGATGACGCTAGTTGTAAGTGTAATTTACTTTGACATTGAAGCCGGCTGCATTTTAGAGATTAGACATTTGTCATTAAAATTCAATGCGAAAAGATTACGGCAAATACTTTGATTGATGTATTTTTTGCTTTTGATATCGAGATAAATGAATTTTTTAAGTAAAAAAAACCGCGGAAACTAAATTTAGTACCTAATAACATGTTCGTTTCTTGAGAGGGTAATAATGGATTGTAATTAATAAAATAAAAAATTCGCTCACGTGGAATAATAATAATGTACTATACGCGAATATAATTTAAAATTTGTATTATGAAAACGATAAAAAGATAAAATACCTGCGAACGAATAGTCATGTAATGAAATTATTTACTTGGTATATTTATATTCAAAGAATTATTATAAAAAATTGTTAAAATCACAAAACCTAATTTGGTATATAAAAAAAAATCTCTCACGTATAAATATCGAATATACAATTATATATATCTGTTATAAATGTTTCAATAGCAAAATAATATAAATAATTGAGAATTTTAGATCTTGTCAAAAACAATATTTATACATTTATTTGTTTTGTAATGGACGATTGTAAAAAAGTAAACGATTGCATCTTTTTTCCGTGCAATAAAATTGATAAACATTTAAAAATTAATTTTGTTATTCACACAAAAAAGAAAGAGCATAGTTTTGTATTACGTAATATAATAGTTTTGTATAATATATTTAGACACAACATACACATATACGCACATGCGCACGCACGCACGCACGCACACATATTATTCAAATAAAGTGGAGATATTTTGTCACACCTCAAACGTTTTATACAAATTAAAAGTTACAAATTTAAATATTGTATACAAATAACGTTACATACAAATAACGTTAGCAGTATTACATTATTTCCCCGTAATGGATATGGAGGGACTTATGATAGAATATTTTACATTAATAACAATGCTTAACGTTGTACATTCCCATATTGTCGATAATAAAAATCTGATTCTCCGCATTGTATAAAATGGCTCTTTATTATGTTATTATAAATAATGTCAATATAAGATTTTGTAAAAAAATAACATGGGATATATATTTACGTAAAGGAATCTCTTTCATACGATTTATATAATTGATTATACGTATTTTCATTACAAAATAATTTTATTTTAGATAAAAATGCTATAGTTACATATAATTATTTTTGTACAATGTTAATATATTTAAACTTAGCTACTTACGTCATTTTATATTTATCATATTTCGGAAATTTCTTTTTTAAATAAAATGGGAATTGTACATCAGCACAAAATTAACATATCTATTTTTATAAAAAATTGTAAATACTATTTGTAGAAATAATAACAGATGAATATTATATCTTTTTTACTAATAGAAAAAATTGAGATTAAATATATCGAAAGTTTTTATATTAACGTACCGAAATTGTATATTTGAACGAATAAAAATTAAGCATCAATTTGAAACTTGGAAATGAATTCCAAATTTCTGAGTATCCTTGCTATATTATGATCAAATTTAATGCTTGGCGGTTTGGATTTTATATATTTATCTTCAGTTCTTCATTATCTTCATTATCTTCAGTTCTTCAAAAATTATTTTCTTCTTTGTATAACTGTATGTATGTATACATATATGTATATTTATGAAAAATAATCTTCATATATGTATATATATATATATATATATATATATATATGTATGTATGTATGTATGTGTATATGTAAAGATTAATTTTATAAATCACACAATTTAATATTTCATATTACCTCACATGTACAAAATATATTGCACAAAATAGAACTTTCCTTAAATCCTCAAATTAATGTGCACATGTAGAAAACAGATTTGAAATACAAGAAAATACAAAAATCACAATTACATTTAACAATAACTGATGAAAACCTTGTATTCATGTTTTGTACTTTTGGAAGATGACATAGCATTTTATAGGATATCAGAGATCTGAAATATAAGAAAATACAGAAATAAAATAAGCATCACAGTTACTTATTTAATAATAACCATGCAATGAAAATCTTGTATCCATGTTTTTGTACTTTCGGAAGATGACAGCGATTTATATATCTATTATTACATATGTAATATTTACATATGTATGTATTTATACATAAAATATCTTCTATATTATATATATAAATATATATATAATTATAACACACACACAATATACAAATATTG